TCAGCAGGAGCCTGGCAGCTTCTCACAGAGACAGCGTTTCTAGGTCCTGTTTCTGAGCAGCAGTTGTGAACTAAATGCATGACCAGTTGACAATGATTTACTTGCAAATCCATTGATTTATTTTGAATCCTCTTACCTTTCCTGGAGACAAAGGAAAGATAGCTTTTGCTGAGTCTTCTTCCAGAGCCCTTGACTTGAGTTATTCTCCACAGGAACTCTTTGGCAGAGATGCAGAATCGCCACGGAGCCAGGGCATCAGATCGGGAACACTCGCCTCGCCTTGTCCAAAGAGGTACCCTAAGCCACTGCTCCAGCTCACAGGGCCAGGCCCTGCTGTGGTCAGTTTAAAACAGCTTTGCTTGGCCACCAGCAGCGCCCCCGTGGCTGTTCTGGTAGATACAGAGAGCCTGATCCCCTGGCTGTTAGGAGCAAGCCACCTATCCTCTTTCAACCACTCCACAAAAAGGAGTGGAGTAATCAAGTGGTATAACAGGTAATAATGTATGTTCTCTGCTTGCAGGAACTGGTGGCCAAGACTGGCCAGAACAGCGGAATATCTCAATGTATTCATGTCCCAAATGTGGAGAAATTCTACCTGATTTGGACACGCTGCAGATCCATGTTATGGACTGCATTAATTGAGTGTTGCCCTCCAATTCATCTTCTGAAATTTCACCTGCCAAAACACTTTCTGTTTTGTTTTTTTCCTTCCTGGTCAAGTAATGCTCAACTCTACATCCCATGAAGGAAGTTGTCAGGGTTTTTCTCATTAATTGAATGGGAAAAGGGAAAAAATCCTACCCTGTTCTATAGTCACTAATCTTGTTTCAATCTGCTTTAGGAAACTAATTTTTATAGGTTAGCAACATGGATGTGTAAAGAACTCCCAGAATGTCTGCTGCTATGAAATCTTTAAGGAACATTCCCCTGGTGTACTCTGTTCTTATAGACTGCCCACAGAACAGGGCTGAATCAATAAAGTCAGAAGGGATATGGGATATATACCTGTCAATGCAAGTACTGTGAGCCTGTAAATACTTAACCTCTCATATACTATACATCAGGAAACGTACATTTAAAAAAGCTGTTTGAGAAGCTTGCAGCAAAATGGAGTACTGTTGTATTCATCAAGCATTTGAAATGAACCCTGATTTCTCCAGATGGCAGTTTTATTGCTGCCCTAGTGACCACACTAATCTGATGTTAAATTTTTGATGGCTTCTGTAGCTTCTTGCTTTAGCCAGATGTGGGCAGGGTTTAAAACAGATGATTTAGATCTGATAAATGTAGCTACTGGTGTACCTAAGCCACTTGGTTTTCTAGAACTGTTAATTTTTAAGGTGTTGTGTTGATTCTACTTTATTACAATAAAACTAATTTGAGCCTGTACAGTATTGTGCTAGAAAGAGCTGAGATGGATGTGATGTAATTGAAGAATATAATGGGTTTTCACATCTCAGATCTATTGCAAGGATAAAATTGTCTAAGCCTGTGAATACTTTGGAGGCTGAAACAGGATTACAAATATATATGGCTGAAAAGCTCATGTAGAAAGATCTGTTGTATATTAAATCTGTTTGTGCCCTCCCTGGTGTTTATATCTCAAAAAAACACAGTTCTTAACTTGCCATTTCATAGGAGAGAGAAACACACAACTCTTAACAAAAGATGAACCAGCATGAGTAGCAGGACACAACTGGAGCACATTGTTGGGATCCATGCCAATGAGGAGTTGAATGTCTTTTGCAAATAGCTAAATTGTACCATTGGAAACTGGCAGGGAAGAGAAGTAAAAGAGATGTATGAAAACCTTTGAGCAGCCACAATGGTTTATGGCATCATCTTCCTGCT